TCGGACGACTGAGGTACTTGTTCTCGCCAAACTGGCGCTCCAGCTCGATTAGTTGCTCGCTGGTGAACGCTGTCCGTGGACGTCGCATTTTACCCCATGTTTGCCATGCTCCCACTGAAAAATATTTTCCACGAAAATCATGAGGGCGGAGGACAAAGTGGCTGGTAGGCTCCGGCCACTCGGACAACTAGTACTAGTTTATATTGTGTGGTTTGTTGCAAATGTCCGGAAACACTTCCCGCTTCGGTGGCATGATGTTACAAATTAGGAGCACTCACATGTTAGCGCTAGTTGATCGTACAGTAAAGGAACAGCCGGACTAAGAATAGGGTACTGTAGGCGGTCTGTAGGCGGCGCGGGTAGGCCAAATAGTGATGTGGATGCTAGAAATGACGGTCTATTCAGAAGTAATCATGTACATCACTTAGTCTCTACCGAACCTGTGGCAATAGTTGGGGTCTGGGTGACGATCCCAAAATTTGTTGCGGTAGTAAATATAGTTGACTGGCAAGAGCTTTTCAGGGCTGGAGGTGTGGGAGAGAATGCGTCAACATCACGGGATCCTTGAGTGGCTGCATCTGTCCCTGGAAGTTACATTTGGTTGGAATAAGTCTGGCAGAAATTTAATTTGAGTCGTATTTCTGTTGAGTTGATGCATGCAGTTCTCACTTGAAAAATGCTCAAATATACACCAATAAATCTACACACTATGCTCTTCGTTAATGATACAAATTAGTTTTTTATAGCGCATTTTAGAAATCAATGATCAAAATCATTAAGTCGAGTTAGAAATCGAAATTCGTAACTACATCTAGAGACATCTAAACACTACCAACTTCTCTCAGTCAAAAAGAATAGGTAAAAAACAAAGGCCGAAGTTAAATCTGACTTTCAGTAGACGTGTTAGCAATTTTAGCAACCAAATAGTCGAAAAATCGCTTTTGGGTATTTCTCTTGATCAGCTTCCATCGTTGCCATATGTGCTCAAGGAATTTTAGTTCAACATTTTCAAAGCACAAGATCCTTTGTAATCGATCAAATCACAGAATTTCGTTTAAGCTTGAAAGTAACAGAATTCAAAGATTTTGGTGCAAGTCTTGAGATGGTCCAAGACTATTTTTATCTCCGTTTGTTCAAAAACATGCGAGAAATCCCTACTCTGAGCAGTTGAATGACTTTTTTAGATTCATAAGAATCATCAACATTTCAAGAGAACAAGCATTAATTTCCAATGAGGATACTGAGCCGAGGTGCTCGAAATTGCCTTATGTAAGTGAGCTCAAAATAAATATCTTGGAATTAAATTCTTTTGACATCATAGGCAAAAAGATGTTAACATGTTTTAAAGTTTGCATTTTTTGAGAATTTCCCTAAAAGGGCAATTGATGACATAATGTAAATTGCTTGCAGAGATACTTAGTACTGAAACCATATTCATTAAGTCAAATCATAAACACACGAACAATTAATCACCTTCGGTATGTACATCCGCAGTGTGAAGGATGTCCCCACATTGCAAACGCAAAGAATATTTTGAAGCAGATAGAAAAAGTGGTTTTTTCTTGAAGACTATCAGAGCCGATACGAAGCAAGACAACAAGAAAGATTGCCTATCATTTATTGACATTTTGATTAAGAACTTTCTTGATCTAGGTCATTACCCATCATGTCGAAAATAAGGAGTCCTTGTCTCAGGACACACAAAACCTTAATTTTGGATTTTTTTGTGAGCAGGTACTCCTTGAAAGAGCAGAACGACATGAAGTTATGACGGCAGAAGTTCCGGTCCTCTTCAACCTCTTGAAAAAGCGGTCTTATTCTACTTGGCGTATAATCCTGAGAATAGTAAATTTGAAACTATTTTTCGCAAGCTGACATGCGTTTGTATTTAGTTCAAGGATATCTCAACTCTTTTTGGGTGCGCGATTACGGTATCTTTACTGTTTCCACTTTCGCGCTGAAAGTGCTGGCAAAGCTGCGTCGCACTTGCTGTACAGAAGGTTTCTCATTTGTGTTCGAGATCCTAAAATGGGTACAGTAATGTACCTCTCGGCTCAGTTGGAAGCTCTCAGTTGGAAGCGCATACAAAATATGGAACTTACCTTCATCGTGACAGCGAGGTGCTGAAGCACTACTTGTTGTTTCTGCATTCCTACACAAGAGAGCATCAATGGAAGCGAACATTTCCTCAAAAACTCCGAAGTTCGCTAAGAAGCACCCAGCTAGCAGTTGTATGGGTTTTCCAAGACCCTAAGAAATTTGTGGAATGGCGAATGAAGGGAGATGAAGAGCTCGTAGCATACGGTCCCTGGGGATGTCGCCGGAGGCGTGGTGATGATCGTCAATGGCTGATAGACTACGGTAGCTAAACGAAGCATCATGAGGGTTTTTCATTGCGTAAGGAAAATCCCTATTTCTATCTATTATCTTATGAGAATCTTATATTCGCTGGAAAATGCAATCGATTTACACTTGCATGTGTCTTTTCTGCGAAGTTTCATGTAGACTTCTTGATCGCCTGACCTAGTGTTTGCAGAGGTAAGTTTCTGAAAGGGAGATGAATAGTTACTAGGAAGCCTTCTTGTGCAAGAATCTCAGTCGCATAAATAAAAATGAGGCGCTATGAGGTGGACGATGAAAAAAATATTATTTCAAACAAAATCCGTGAATTATTCTAGAAATTTGTATCAAACCTATGGTGATCCACAAAATCATATGGAACAATATTGTAAGAATCTTAGAAATTCATTGCTTACAGTTATCATTACCTGGAATTGAGGATAGCTGTCTATTTACACTTTTCCTCTTCTTAGATCATGATTCGATCGTTATGAAAGCTGCTCTATTTTTTCCTGTTGTAAATCTTTAATGTTGACATAAGTATTTTCGTCATCTTCAGGTTCACATTTTTCAAAAAAAAAAA